TTTTGCACTCACATTCATATGATTACCTACAAGTACAGGTGCAGGTATATTTTTTAGGTGTCGGTCTTCACCTTCTGAACAATGTTGCGTCGATTTTTGGACATCATTGCAAATTGTTAGCTAAATTTTCATTCACTTGTTTTTGTTACAAGCCTTCATATGATTACCTGCGTGTACAGGTGCATATATATTTTTAAGGTTTCTGTCTTCACATTCTGAACAATGTTGTGTTGATGTTTGGATATTTTTGCAAATTCTAAGCTAAATTTTCATTCAGTTGTTTTTGTTATAAGCCTTTTTAGTTCAATGTTTCATATCAAACTCTGTGTATTAACTGAAAAATGTGCTGCGGCCTGTCGATTTCTCATCCATGTCACTGATTATTCATCGATGCCATTCATTACTCATCGACTAACTACTGATTACCAATTGATTACTCATTGATTGCACATATATATTGTAATGCCGCATATCTATTACTACATCCCGCCATTTTTTCTTTATTTCAACTGATTTTCCTGTTATAAATCCTACTTAACCGTTGCACCTAAATATCTTTGTGATCTAGTGCATGTCAAGGAAAAATCCGGCTACAACGCGCGACCAAAAGACGGTATAAAACGAAAAAGTCTTTAAGTTTTAATGTTTAATTCTCAGTAGTCATTGAAACTTTTTGACTTTTAGGATTAGTTTTATGTTTTATATCATGGTGTAAGGCACACTTGATCATTTTATTGAAAGTTGCGCTATATGTTATTAGTATAATTATTAAAGCGAACGGTTCGCAACAATAATAACAGGCAAAAAGGAATTGTACGTGCAAAGTTAAACGGAGAAAATAACTTAATCAATAGGATTCCAAGACTTGTCTCTCTGCTATTACAGTGTACTGGCCATTTGTGACAACAGCGAAATTGCGAACACGAATTAATTGTTTGTATTTCTAGATTTTCGAATTGGAATGGTTTGTGTCATATTGATGACTAATCAATGTCCTCAATGCCTAAATATATAAATATAATGCAATTAATGACTAATCGATGACTGAACATTCTTTTTCCTATCGACAGGAGATTATCAAAGTAAGTACCTTGATAATCTCTTGCTATAGATTATTCATCGAATAGCGATTGATCATCAGCAATAACCAATTCCTAATCGACTGATTACCCGTTGCAGATTAGCTACTTGATATAGCATATGAACACGGAACATAATCAATGTACATCAATAACAAATAAACCAAAAAAAAAGTGAAAAGCTCATGGCAATGTTGATACAAATGAGGTCACTAAGTATAAAGTCGAGCTATATCGATCTGTCCGAATACGTACCGCAATCATTGGAAATACAAGGCCGATGACGATCGCTACGGATCAAGCTTAGTGACCTTTAAAACTATTTTCTATACATCGTCCGTAAGTCGTTGGTTGACTGGCCGCTGTGGAGAGGTTAATATAGCAAATGAGAGGCACGGTTAGTGGCCACCGTTGCCGATGTTGTCACTGTTAGCAGAGTTCGGCTGCATCCGAGTGAATTGGAACCCACACAGGAAGACGTGGAAGATGCGAGTCACTTAAGATTACGACAGACGTATTGTAGCGTTGTACTGAAGCATTGTATTGTAAGTATTTTTCATTGTACGTAGTGTTTTTTTTTTGTTTTTTTTGTTGTTTTTTTGGTCTGTTAGTGTGAAAATAAAGTTAAATAAAAAAAATAAAAAATAAAAAAATAATAAAAAAAAAGATTACGACAGACGACGATAAGAGATAAAAAAGTAATTCAAGTTGGTGTTCGTGTTCGTCATAAATTTCAGCTGGAAGCTAGATGGACAGTTAGGAAAAGTTTTTTCACTGTTACAGGCATCTCCGATACTAGCAAAGTAAACAAAACGTTAAAACATTTCCGCGTAGCCACATACTTATTTATGCCTACGACTTCTTTAATTATTGTTTGCGGATGAACAACAGTCCTCAACAGAGCAAGACTCACAAGACTGTATGCATAATTAAATTTCGGTTTATGCGGTATATATCCGCGAATGTAAGTAGTTATCTAATTTTAAATACTGCCATGCGCGGATGTCAGTCGTTTAGCCTACAAGTCGTTTCGCCTACACGACCGAAGTCGTTTCGCCTACACCATCTGAGTCGATTCGCCTACATTAAAGTCGTTTCGCCTACACTTAAGCCGAAAATTTTTTTGCGAAGATAGATGAACATCACTGCCTACAGGGAGCAGAGGAGTCGTATTTGACCGTATTTCCAGTTAAATTCCACGTAAAGTTGTAGCGCGAATCGACTTGTTGTTGATTTAAGAGATTTCAACAGACGCGTAACACGATGCATGTTAAGTGGAATCCCGATTCTTAGCAGCTCCAAGGGAAACAAAAATTGGTTCGAAAAATCGCGGATAAAATTACAGTGTTTGACTGAGTAGGGGAAACGACTTTTGGTTCGAGTTATCGGCAGGTTCGAGAAATCGGGATTCCACACAGTTTGATCACGTACAGTTACTTGAATTACTCGATTCGCGTGCACAACAAAACAAAATACGAGTGCGTGACGAACTGAACTTCGTGTCCTGTTCGCTTCGACGAAAACGTAGGCACACACACATATCATTTCAAGTTAAAGGTGAAGTTTTATTCTCTGTTCTTTTGGCACATGACGAGTTCCTGTTAGTGATCTTCAAGTTTATTGGCTCGTTTGTTGAGACAGAGCGTTCAGTATAGCCGTGCCGTCGCTGTGAAAATTAGGGAGCTCAAGAAAACACGACTGCGACGCCGAGGACAACGTCGATTAAAAAATGATTTTATATTTTAACTACGAATCCTGCGGTACCCTAAAGTCATTTACTTTGTTTGTCACTGTCAAAGCTATCACGAAACTGAATATAGGACACACCGATAAATTCGAAATATAAATATAAAAAATTTGCCGTCGTGGTTCACGTTCTCCAGACAACGCAAAATTTCGTCATTTCACGTTGTTGTTTTGCAGAGGACGGCAAAGAAATGTACCAAGAATTATAACGCAGGTGCACAGCCATTGTTCTCCTCATTAAAACTTTTGTTTAGCGACGTTGCCGTTGCCGTTGCCGTCGTGGTTTTCTTAAACTCCCTTATATATTAACTCTTCCGAAAAACATTACTATAATTATTGTAAACCTATATAGTAACAATAGTAGTAATAAGTATTTAGTGTAGGCGAATCGACTTCAATGTAGGCGAATCGACTCAGATCGTGTAGGCGAAACGACAGAAACAGAATTCAGCTACTGAGAACTCGTTACTAACCTTTCACGTCAACAGTTGCTCGGAAAGTTTCCTCGAGAAATGCACCGCCATTGGTGGTGTAATTTATCGCGAGAGTCTAAACGTATTTATCATTTCCTTGGACGTTGAAAATCTTCAGCTCTTGATTAGCACGGGCGTCATACTTTTTCTTATCTTGGAAGGGCGCTATCATAGTAAAGCCTCCTTCGGAGGCGAGACGTGATGCTATTTGTTCTCTTGCAAGACTACCAGGTCTCTGTCTGAAGAAAGCAAAGTCGGTAATAGTTTCGCCAGCATTAGCGCCGCAAGTTTTCCAGTTGAGGGACACTGCATTGCTGTTGACTCCTAGCACCACGATTTTAGGATCGTCAGGTTTGTCTTGACACACGATCGCTGATTCTGAAATCACATCACACAGAAAACAACATCCTCAGTGGAAATTAGACGCCAATTTCAACTGTATCTAGCAGAGAATTGCCTGAATAAACGAATTTAAAATATTTTTCATTACGAAGCTTACCAGATTGCTGCAGTGCTCCAAAAAGCCAAAACGTGGCCAACATCCATCGAGTAACACAACCAAGAAAAGCATTCATTTTCTTTAAAGAAGCTTAAAATTGAAATAGGAGTTCCTTTAGATGACAAATTCAAGGAACATTCAACAACAAGGAATGTTCGTTATATTTGATGAATGATGTCATAGACGCCAAGCGAACAGGAAACGTTTTAATGGTTCCCAGTGCGTAAAGCGCTTCAGAAGCCCGGGGTACTTACTTACCATTTGTCACGAAGGTCCGATGTTTTACCACAACACCCGAAATGAAATTAAATGACGGCAAATGATTCAAACTGTAGACTATTTCATACAAATGTGCTGGTGGGATTTCAGTAGATAAATGCGAACGAGGGTCCGATATTTGACCAAAATGTACCCAATATGCTATTACTTGACGACAAATGACGCAAATTGTGGACTATTAATTGTTTCACACAAATGTGCACATGGGATTACATTAGATAAATGCGAACGAAGGTCCGATATTTTACCACAACACCCGAAATGATATTAAATGACGGCAAATGACCTAAACTGTAGACCATTTCACACAAATGTGCAAGTGGGATTTTAGTAAATAAATGCGAACGAAGGTCCGATATTTTACAACAATGCGCCCAATATGCTATTACTTGACGGCAAATGACCCAAACTGTAGACTATTTCACACAAATGTGCAAGTGGGATTTCAGTAGATGAATGAGAACAAGGGTCCGATATTTCACCAAAATGCACCCAATATTCTATTATTTGACGGCAAATGACCCAAGCTGAAGACTATTTCACACAAACGTGCAAGTGGTATTTCAGTAGATTAACGCGAAAGAGGGTCCGATATTTCACCAAAATGCACCCAATATTCTATTATTTGACGGCAAATGACCTAAACTGTAGACTATTTCACATAAATGTGCAAGTGGGATTTCAGTAGATAAATGCGAACGAGAGTCCGATATTTGACCAAAAAGCACCCAATATGCTATTACTTGACGACAAATGGCCCAAATTGTGGACTATATAACGAATGATTAAATGAATGATTATGGTTGTAGCTTAATCATGCTGCGACCGTTAAACCCTCCTTCCTAAATTGCAAAAAAACAAATCATTTTGTTTTATTCTCTCTCATTTACATTAACCTGAACTCTTTAATGCTTGCAACTTCACGCTTCCTTTCCGTGTGTTCGTTGGATGCCCAAGGTTTGCATTTGCTTTTAAGTGTAGGGCTTTGTTTACATACATGCAGTTCGTTTAAAAACCAGGAACATGTTTTTATTTCTGAATATAAAGTTACATCAATTGGCGTCACCTCTATAGTCTTGTAGTCATGCTTAACATTAACTTGAACACAACGTCAGCAAAACAGAAAGTTTCCTTTTCGAACCTGGTTCAAAATCTAAAATGATCTCCCCGTTTCTTAGACTATCTGCCGAGCACAATTGTACATATACTTGCACAGGTTATAATTTATCATGCCTTATGCGAAATGAACCTTCAACTGGCCCGAAACGCATCCCACATCAAAGGAAAGCGTTTTGTGTCCTATTTTAACATCTTCCTAAAGGGGAAATTGTTATATTAACTGGTATCAAGAAAAAGGACATTTCAATCTCTCTTTAGAGAGAAACTAACCAGCCAAACATCAAAGTCGAAACACGAGTACTCCATCACGAAGGCGGCATAAGGCAACAGACAAATCTGAGCAACCCAAAGATATTTCTATTGCCTTTAACACTGTTCAGAATTCCAGCTTCCTTCTCAAAGTGTCACTTTATCCTGTTAATTCACTCAGTTCTCGACTTCTTGAAAACACCATTGTATTGCACAGTCTGCACATCAGTTAATTTGAAATCTGCCAAATGAACAGACCCAAACGTCCCGCTTCCAAGCTTGTCTTTGATTTGTACCAAGTTCCTTTTACAAGTCCAATCCCTCGTTTAACAAATCCAATCCAATCCAATCCAATCCAATCC